GCTGCGAAGGTTCATGATTTTAGAAGTCAACTTTTAAGTTTTGGCTTGATACTCTTTGCAGAATTGCATGTTTTTAGAGCGCAGTGCTATGACTTGATGGAATTATTTTTTGTATTTGATGTGAAATGAATGTTTTCAAATATGTGGAACACTTTTATTATTGGATTCTTCGTGGATTTTCCGAATTTTTAACTTCTTTTTTTGTTCGTAAAATTGTTTTTATTGATTCTTTTTTTTTGGTTTCGTTCATCTGCTTTTTTAATCAATTTGTTGAACTCTGAGATATAAAATGATGAGTAAGTGTTGTAGCTCTAATGATTTTTAGCCGTTGTTGACGTTGGTATCATAGAAAGAGGTAAAGAGGTGTTGTCGTGCTCGAAAGATGGAACAGCAAAAATGTGGAATTGTGGATCAGCGGAATGTCTGAGAACATGGCATCCTGAAGCGGGTCATGTGAATGCTTTGGCCATATCGCCATCATCTTCATCATCAGGTTAGGAAGAGGTATTATGACTTATTGAAGGGATGTTGATGTTTTATTCGGATCCTGTGCATAGAATTGTGATTGGCTGGTCCTGTTATTAAACTTGCGTGCACTATTACTGTTATTAAGTATGAAAAGTTCTGGTTCTCTAATATATTTACTTCAGGCACAAATATATTCGGCGTCGCATGTGAATCGGGTAAAGCAAATGTTTATGATTTACGGAGCAATGACTCGGTATGGAATACTGTTGTGTAATCTTGATTTGACGAAGAATATTTGAAATCTTATAATAATGATTGTAAAAGTAATGGTGATGGTATTAATAATAATAATAATAATAATAATAATAATGAGCATCTCATCGGTTCATTTTTAGGGAATTTTGGTTGTTGTACCAGGTGAAAATTGTACTGCAATAACGTTTTGTGGCATCGCATCGACAGATTCTGCGAGTGAGGATGCAAATTTGTATATTGGTACTGAAGAGGGATCGATTATAGGGTATAGTATGAAAGCTGGGTAAGTTATTCAAACTTTTTTTTGAAGTTTCGTTTCACTCATACCAGTGAAAAGTTTTGTTCGTCTCATTGGTATTTTAATTTATTACCATCGTTATTGTTATTCATATTCATAGAGACAACTGTATTCATGTTTGAATTATCTGATTCTCAACACGGAGGCTGATTCATTTAATGTTTTTTGGTGATAGCAGTCTTGAACTGCAATTATTTGGACTGTGTAATATTTTAGATGAATTTTTGAATGGATTCGTAAAAATCTTGAAAGTTCACCATTTCTGGAAATTTCGGTCGATTCTCTGGGTTTTAACTATTCTTAGAACGAATCGTTATTATCGGAAAAATTCGGAATCGTTGATGACATCTTTCCTTCAAGGGTGATATTCCTGAAAAGAGTGCAAGTTTAGATGGAGAATAATTTACAATTAGATAGTAATTTA